TTCCTCCCCATGAACACACTGACCGTGCTGCTCTGTGCTGCTGTTCCGTGGTCTCCTGCTCCCTCTGTGGCAGTTTTCCTCTCTGTGGATGCGGTGTCCTGTGTGGGAACCTGGGAAGCACCGTGAGCATCAGACACTGGTAACACCTTTCCCAGGTGTCAGCCCCATGTCCCCCATTCCTACCAACCGTGTCCTTAGAAACTGAGGTGACAGCACAGATCAGGTCCAGAGGTGAAGGGTTTTGGAGAAGTTTCCCTGAGAGGAAAGATCTCCACATCTGTAGGTGGGCGTGTTTATGGGCCGTGGCTGTGCGAAGGACTCCTGGATCCCTGTGCTGTGCCCTCACCCCTCCTTTGACAGCACTCAGAATTGAAAGCTCTTTTCTCAAAGCCTACAGATAATGTATTTCTTCCTTTTTTACAGAAGACATAGTTCTGGATGAAGATACTGCCCACCCTCAGCTCTTGGTGTCAGAGGGTGGGAAGCATGTAGAATGTTTGTCAGAGGAGCGAGCTGTTCCTGAAAGCCCTGGAAGATTTACCTTTCTCCGAGCTGTGCTGGGTCGGAACAGCTTCTCCAGTGGGAGCCATTACTGGGAGGTGGATGTAGGAGGCAGTGAACGGTGGGCAGTGGGACTGTGCTCAGAGTCAGTTGACAGGAAGACCTATTTTGTGAATATTCATCCTGGGAACGGTTTTTGGAGCATTAACAGGACTTCTCATAATTACCGGGCTCTTTACCTACACTGTCATAATTTTAGTGTTGTAGCGCCCCCCTCGGTCGTGGGCATTTATTTGCAGTATGAGCAAGGACTGATCTCTTTCTATGATGTGAAACAACTCACTGTACTCCATACTTTCACAGGCAAGTTCTCTGGGCCCCTGAGGCCGTGTTTTCTTACTGGATTTTGCACTCCAGGACATTATCCTGGCCTGTTCATCCGCCCAGTGCCACCGCCACAGGCATTGGTCCTCCCTAGAGCAACCTGAAGTATGTTCCACAGGGCTCACCCCATGAACCAGGACAGCACACCAGGCCCCAGCCAGGATGCTGCGGGTTGGGGCTGGAGGCATTTGCCTTCAAAGGCCCAGGCTGCTTCCCAGCTGTGTGGAAAATTATGTATAAAGCCTGTTATTTGCCTATTTTTACTGATCACTCATGCAGCCTCACATCCCCTTAATACACTTCCCTTTTTCCCTGTCAGCTTTGAGAAATGCAACTTCATTCTATTCTCCCTTTTTTGAGCATCAGATTTTGAAAAGAGCTGGCTGCTTCCCTCAGTAGACATTGCTGTGTGTTCCTCACCATACT